TTACTTTTTCATGCTTCTCTTGAGTCTTGTATTTGAAAGTCAAATTTTCTATTTAGCTCTGGCTTCTTAGGAATGCATTAAATTCCTCTACATCATTAAATGTCAATTTCCCCCCCCTCATTCATTACACTCAGTTTTACTGGGTAGGTGGGTGATTCTTGGTTTTAATTCTAGCTCCTTTGACCTCCAGAATATCATACTCCAAGCCCTTCTATCCCTTAATGTAGAAGCTGCTAAATCTTGTGTTACCCTGATTGTGTTTTCACAATACTTGAATTGTTTCTTTCTGGCTACTTGCAATATTTTCTCCTTGACCTGGGAACTCTGGAATTTGGCTATAATATTCCTAGGAGTTTTTCTTTTGGGATCTCTTTCAGGAGGTGATTGGTGGATTTTTTTAGTTTCTATTTTACCCTTTGGTTCTAGAATATCAGAACACTTTTCCTTGATAATTTCTTGAAAGATGATGTCTAGGCTCTTTTTTTGATCATGGCTTTCAGGTAGTCCAATAATTTTTAAATGATCTCTCCTGGATCTATTTTCTAGGTCAGCTGTTTTTGCAATGAAGTATTTCACATTGTCTTCTATTTTTTTCATTCTTTTGGTTTTGTTTTATAATTTCTTGATTTCTCATGAAGTCATTAGCTTCCATTTGCTCCATTCTGATTTTTAATGAATTATTTTCCTCAGTGAGCTTTTGGACCTTCTTTTCCATTTGGCTGATTTTGCTTTTTAAGGCATTCTTTTCCTCATTGGCTTTTTGGACCTCTTTTGCCATTTGGGTTAGTCTATTTTTTAAGGTGTTATTTTCTTCAGTATTTTTTTTGGGGTCTCTTTTAGCAAGCTGTTGACTTGTTTTTCATGATTTTCTTGCATCGCTCTCATTTCTCTTCCTATTTTTTCCTCTACTTCTCTTACTTGATTTTCAAAATCCGTTTTTGAGCTCTTCCATGGCCTGAGACCAATTCATATTTTTCTTGGAGGCTTTGGATGTAGGAGCTTTGACTTTGTTGTCTTCTTCTGATTATATGTTTTGATCTTCCTTGTTACCAAAGTAAAATTTTATAGTCTGAGGGTTTTTTTCTGCTGTTTGCTCGCCCCAGCCAATTACCTGACTCTTTGTTAAGGTAGAGCTCTGCAGCGTGGAGGATGTGCAGTCCCAAGCTTCAGGGCTTTTATGCAGCTGTTTTCAGAGATACTTTTAGGGACCTGTAAGTTTTCAGTTCTTCCAAGGTGGTATGATCTAAGGAGACATGTTTACTCCTCTCCTGGCCTGTGCTATGGTCTGTGAGTGACCACAAGCACTCTTTTCTGACCCGGAACTGTGAGGAGGGTTCCTTTTTCACTTCTGCCGCAAGCTTTGCTATTCCAGCGCTCCTTCTCTTCCCAGGACTGCCACCCAGGACTGTGACCCAGATCCAAGTATGGGCAAAACAACAGAATCCTGCTTCAGTGCTAGCAAAGAGATCCCTGTAATCTCTTTCTAATCAGTTGTTTGATCCCCTTACCATCTGTGGGCTGAGAGCTCTGGAAGCAGCTGCTGCTACTGTGGCTTCCATCCCAGGGCTGTGCTAGGGCCCGGGCTAGACTGTGCTCCTCTCTCACCCAGGTCCTACAGACCTTTCCCACTGTTATCTTTGGTGTTTGTGGGTTTAGAAGTCTGGAAACTTCCACAGCTGCCCATGATTTAGTTACATGATCCCTGCTCTGAGTTTGCTGGGGTCCCGTCTTTGCAGGCGTGGCCCATGCTGAACTGTGCTCCTCTACCAGTCAAGTACGATAGACCTTTCCCACCAACCATCCAGGTTGTCTTGAGCTGGAAATTGTTTCACTGTCTTTTTGTGAGTTCTGCTGCTCTAGAATTTGTTTAGAGCCATTTTTTTATAGGTATTTGGAGGGGCTGAGGGGAGAGCTCAAACAAGTCCCTGTTTTTACTCTGCCATCTTGGATCTGCTCCCTATCTTCTGTTTCTTCCTCTCTTTTTATCCTGTCCCTCCTCAAAAGTCTATTTTGTTTCTAACTACTGCCTCCTTACTTTGTCCTTTTCATCACCCCCTCCCTTCATTTTATCCCTTATTTCCCTATTGGGTAAGTTACATTTATATACACAAATGAGTGTGTATATATGGTCTTCCCTCTTTGAACCAATTTCAATGAGAGATTCAAGCATTGCCTGCTCCTCCTTCATTTTTTTCTCCCATTATAAAAGCTCTTTCTTATGTGCCGCTTTTATGTGAGAAAACTTTCCCTGTTCTACCTTTCCTTCCCTCTTTTCCCAGTGCATCCCTCTTTCTCACCCCTTCAGTTTTTTTGGTGATCATTCCAATATAACAGACTCATATCCATGCCCTCTTCTGTGTAAATTCTTGTTCTAATAATAATAAAGTTCTTAGGAGTTCCATGTGTCTTCTTCCCATATAGGGAGAGAAACAGTTTTACTCTGTTGAGACACTTATGATTGCTCTTTCATGTTTCTTTTTATGTTTCTCTTGAGTTTTCTGTTTGAATGTCAGATTTTCTATTCAGCTTTGGTCTTTTCATCAGAAATGCTTGAAAGTCTTCTATTTTGTTAAATATCTATTTTTCTCCCTGAAGGATTATACTCAGTTTTGCTGGGTAAGCAATTCTTGACTGTAACCTTAATTCCTTTGCATTCCAGAATATCATATTCTAAGCCCTCTGCTCCTTTAATGTGGAAGCTGCTAAATTTTGTTATGCTGACTGTAGCTCCACAATATTTGAATTATTCCTTTCTGGTTGCTTGAAGTACTTTCTCTTTGACCTGGAAGCTCTGGAATTTGGCCATAAGATTCCTGGGAGTTTTAATTTTGGGATCTCTTTCAGGAGGTGATTGGTGGAGTCTTTCAATTTCTGTTTTTCCCTCTGTATCTAAGATAACGAGGCAGTTTTCTATGATAATGTCTTGAAATATGATGTCTAGGCTCTTTCTTTGATCATGGCTTTGAGGTAATCTAATAATTCTTAAATTATCTCTCCTTAATCTATTTTTGAGATCAGTAGTTTTTCCAATGAGATATTTAACGTATTATTTTTTGATTCTTTTTACTTTGTTGTATTGTTTCTTGATGTCCTATGGAGTCATAAGTTTCTACTTGCCCCATTCTAATTTTTAAGGAATTATTTTCTTTAGTGAGCTTTTGTACCTCTTTTTCTATTTGGCTAATTCTGCTTTTTAAGGAGTTCCTTTCTTCATTGAATTTTTGTGCCTCCGTTACTAAGCTGTTAATTTTCTTTTCATAATTTTCTTGTATCACTCTCATTTTTTTTCGGAATTTTTCTTCTACCGCTCATCTCTTTCTTTGACTCTTCCAAGAATTCTTGTTGGACTTGGGTCCAATTAGCATTTTTTGAGGCTTTTTTGTACCTGTTTTCACATTGTCTTCTTCTGAGTTTATGTCTTGGTCTTCCTGCCACTGAAGTAGCTTTTTTGTGGTTAAATTCTTTTTTTTGTTTGTTTGCTAATTTTCCAGCTTATTTCTTAACTTTAAACTTTATGTTAAAGTTGGGCTCTGCTCACCTCAGAGTGGGGAGGCACTGTTCTAAGCTTCAGGCTTTTTCATGCTGCTGTTTTCAGAATTAGTTCTGGGGGGTTTCAGTTTTCAGCTAGTTTTCAGTGTTTACAAGGTGGTGTGATTCAAGGAGAGGCATGGTCACTAATCTCCTGGTCTGTGCTCTGGTCTTTATCCAGGATCCCTTGCAGCCATGAGCACTGGCACTGCTCTTTGTCTTGGCATTGCAACCAGGGTCCATGCTCCCTTGTGACCAGGCAACCACCAGCACGCCTCTGTGCCCTAGAATTGCACCTCAGAATGGCATATGGTCAATAGAATTGCCTATCAGTGCCAGCTGTACTCAGTGCCAGCAAAGGGTTCCCTGTCATTTCTTTCTGACCATGTGTCTGACCTCCTTACCATCCCTGGGCTGAGAGCTCCTGAAACTGCTGCTGATGTGGCCACTGTTGCTTCTGTTTTATGTGTGGGCTTTGGACAGGCTTCTACTCTGTGTCACAAGCTTCTCCTGTCGATCTCCTAAGTTTTCTTAGGACAGAAAATTGTCACACCCGGATCTTTTGTTGGCTCTGTCCCTTCAAAATTTGATTTGAGGCATATATTTTAAAGTTGTTAGGAGGAGAATGTTGAGAGAGTACATCTGGGTTGCCTCTAATCTGCCATCTTCCTCAGATGATTATTTCCATCCTCACATGGACAAATAGGATAGAGGGGGGAAAAGAGAGCAAGAGTTTAGAAATGAAGGAATGGATCCAGGTAAGAAAATTTAAAGACAGAATTAGATGCCAGAAGCAGAGGTTTGGGCTTGGGAAATGAGAGAACTCCCTTATTTTTAAGGGAGCATAAATGTGTGAACTTTCTGCTTGTTTTAGGGTATGGGTTCTTGTTCTTGTTCTTTTTCTTGTTTTGATCTAAATTAAGACTGATTTCTTCAATTTTGCCCAAGCTGAGATTATAGGGGCTACTAGTGGTCTTAATATCACTGATTGGCATGAGAGTTTTGACTTGCTCCATTTTTGATGTAGGGCCAGTTCCTTAGACCCCCAGCCCTGGAGGCTCATCATAGTGATGCCGAACGCGTAGATACTCAGCGGGCTTAGGCTACTGTAGCTCAGAACTCCGGAGCTCTAGAGATCTGCTAGCCTCAGCCTCCTCGGGTAGCTAAAATTATAGGTTCTTTCTAAAGGAGTTTAGCCATACTGTAGCCAAGGATTTCAGCTTAGCTGGACAAGGTGGTGACCATTGACAATGGACAAATGGGAAAGTGGCCAGCAGAGAGCAGGCTCAGGGAGCACAGCAGAGTAAGGTACTTAGCCAAGATATCTTGTCTAGTGAGGGATGGGGGCGGGACAAATTCTTTAGCAGCTGCTAGCTGGGCATACTGAGAGAGAGCTAAATTTTGACTTCCCCAAAGACTGTATCTGAAGTCCTCCTCTTGCAGACAGCTGGCTTTGTGTCTTGTAGACAGGAAGCTTCTTAGATTCCTGATGGTGACTCTGGTAACTGTTGCCACCTGTTGAAGCTCATTCTTTCTTTTCACTCGGTTTCACTGACTGGCTCCTTCTCCATCTCAGCTGCTGCGTCCAGCTGGTCCTGTTGACCTATTCATCAAACTCTGGTACTGATTTATCACTGTCACATTCTCTTCTTGACCCTGTCTCAACCTAAAGCTGTGGCATCTGTTGTTCTGTGGCCAGACGGTTTCTGTTGCTTCACTAGTCATCTTGTGTGATCCAAGATGGCTGCAGAAAGAAGGTAGGAATCTTCCCTTTTGGTCCAGACAGCTAAACTCCCCTATTTCTTTCTAATTTTTTTTTCTATAGCCTTGCCACAGGTAAATAGCTCTTCCTTCACAAAGCAGCAATCAAGTTTTAGGATCTCACCTTTAATGTTTACGATTGCCCTTTAAATAGGCTGAAGTTTGGCAGAGCTGGGTAGGTTTAGAGATGCTGACATAACCTTGCTTACTGAAAGGCACACTGTTCCAGCTGAATCCCTACAGTAAGGTTGTGATGCCTTCTTTTGACTTTGGCAAAGAACAATAGCATCTGTACAGCGTGGACAAGAAGTTCTCTGCCTCCAGAGGCAACGTAAAATGATTCAAAAAGCAGTTATTTGTTGAAGGGGCAGAGGTTGTGTCACAGCGTCATTGGAGCCCCACCCTCAGAACACAAGCACAGTGCTCTACCTGTTACTGCTGACCCAGGGGGAAGATTGGGAAGCTTGCTACTGGAAAGTCACTATGGACAGAGCATGGGCAGATATTGTGACTGTTTTTGTTCTTCTTACCATGTAGAGATAAGGGAGGCAGATGTAGAGATTTTATGGAGTTAGAACGCACAAGATATGGCAAGTGATTTGAGATAAGGAAAGAGGGCAGTCATGGATGATTCCAGGGTTGTCCAGCTGGGTAACTAAAAGGGCAGGGCTGCTTTCAACAGAAATAGGGAAGTTTGGCCAGAGAGTGGATTTAGGGAGGAAGACGATCTCTGTTTTGGACATGTCAAGTATGAGATTCCAGTGGGACACCCCTATGCTGTTTTTGCATGCTAACAAATGCAGGGCAAATAATCTTATATTAATAGCTAGCTTTCATATAGCACTTTAAAGTTGCCAGAGCCCTTTGTGAATATTATATTATTTTGTTCTCATAATAACCCTGTGAGGCAGGGGTTGTTATTATCCGAGTTTTTCAGATGAGGAAACTGGGTAACATATCTACTAAGTGTTGGATGGTGAATTTGAACTCAGTTCTTCCTCATACCAGCTTCCACATATCACAGAGGTACATAGTACCCTTCAGAGTATTTAAGACTTGTGTTTTCAAAGCAGGGTAATGTGGAACAATTTATATCCATGTTGGGGTAAGTTGGATGACTTTTGTTTTACCTTCTTTGTTATGAACTAAGGTAAGGGTGGGGAACCCATGGCCTTGAGGCCACACGTGGCCCTCTAGGTCCTCAAGTACAGCCCTTTGACTGAATCCAAACTTCACAGAATAAATCCTCTTAATGAAAGGATTTGTCCTGTAAAACTTGTACTCACTCAAAAGGCCATACCCAAGGCCTTTTGACCTAAGTCAGTTTAGGTCCTGAAGAGAAGGCAAATGAGCTCTCTTTTAAATGGTACCTTGGAGAAGTTGCTCTCTGAGCAAATGAAAAACTAATAGTGGTCCCAGAGAGTAGATAATGTAGTGTATGTCAAGAGGAAGAGACAGTGAGGGCAGGATGTTGTGTCTATTATCAGATGCAGTCATTGGGTTGGGTGTCTACTCGTTTGCATTGTCACCAGGGAGCCAGTCTTCCTGTTTTCTTACAGAGATGTGTTCAATGACCTCAGGCAGAGATGAGCCCTGCTTAGGGTTCCATCAGTTCTGAAAAGATGAGAGTAGTAGATATAAAGTGGTCCTTATACATTCCAAGGCAGTTAGGTGGCACAATGCATAGAGTGCTGGGCTTGGAGTCAGGAAGATCTGAGTTCAAATTTGGCTTTAGATACTGTGTGACCTAGGGTAAGTCATCCTCAGTTTCTTTAATTGTAAAATTGGGATAATCATAGCATCCACCTGTCGTGAGGATCAAATGAGATATTTGTGAGGTGTTTAGCACGGTGCCTGGTGAGTAGTAGGTGCTATATAAATGCTTCTTCTTTTCCCTTCTCTTTTTTTCAGTAAGCCCCTGCCTATCATACACTTGGACTACCATGCTTGCACAGAGGAGGATTGTAATCTGCTGTGCTAGTTATGCCGTGTTTGTTATCTAACTTCCCCATTGCCTTTTTTTAAAAAAAATAAATGTTGCCTTTGAAAAACCAATACTTTTATAATGAAGCAACTTTTATATTAAAAAAGTAACATGGGATAATTTTGTTCTGACAAATTAGCAGAATTTTAATACAGTCTTTCCTTCTTCAGACTTATAAATTATTAATTTTTTTTACAAATATGGTTCCTTTAGCACTTTTATTTTTCTGTTCATTCAATTTAATTAAACAAACTATTGTCAAGCATGTGCTATGTCTGAGGCCCAATGATAAATGCTAGGTTTTTGTTGTTCAGTTGTTTCAATTGTGTCCAAATCTTCATGACCTCATTTGAGGTTTTCTTGGCAGAGATACTGGAGTGGTTTTGCCATTTCCTTCTCCTGCTCATTTTACAGATGAGCAAACTGAGGTAAACAGGGTTAAATGATTTGACCAAGGTCACACAGCTAGTAAGTGTCTGAGGCCAGATTTGAATGCAGGAAGAGAGTCTTCCTTATTTTAGGTCCAGCCCTCTATCCACTATCCCACCTAACTGCCCCTTATTACATTTACTATCTCATATGATGAAATAAATGTTTAAAGACAAAAGTAAAAAACTTTTAGGAAACAAAAGTAAATCTCCCAATTCCTGGCAAGAGGCATAAGGCTCATTCCCTCTTGAAAGAGATATTGGGAAAAGAATGAAAGAGAATGAAGGATCATTGCCTATAATTTGCCTATAATGTTGTCTATAATTGGAATAAGTTTCAACACTGCAGAATTTATCTCAACAAGCCTTGTGCATGATTCACTCACACCCTTGGCTCTGGAATCTGTTGCTGGCTACTTATAGCTGTAGCCCGTGCTATTTTCATGGCAGCTGTGCCTATATGACTTTTTCTTCCCCAGGTCTTTTGGCTTCTCAGTTTCTCTTTCTGTGAGTCCAAATGATGAAAAGGATGGGCTTATGAGTCCGAGTCAGCCCCTCTGCCACTCCCAAAGTCAGGAAAAAAACTGGAATATTCCACCAGAGAGTAATTGAGGAGGAGGACCTCAGCGTCCATCTCTAGCATCTTCATCTCTTGGTGATAGCTAGGGGACACATGGCCAAATATAATGTATTTTTGTCTGAAATTAAGGGGAAAGCATTGATGTGTGTGTGTGTGTGTGTGTGTGTGTGTGTATGTGTGTGTGTGTATACACACAAATATGTGGAGTGGTCATTAGAAAAGACCTTATGTAAGAAGTGGCTCATGAACTGAGCTTTGAAGGGAGCTGGACATTCCAAGAGGGGTAGAGCATGAGTTGAGATGTACATGGTGAACAACAAAGGAAGCTGGGGTGGCTGTCACATAGAATGCATAAGGGGCAATAATGTGAGATCAGTCTGGAAAGATGGGTTGAAGCCAGATTATGAAGGCTTTAAATGATCATCAGAGGCGTTTGTGTTTTATTTTGAAGGCAATAGAGAAGCACAGAAGTTTCTTGAGAATGATACAGTCATTGTCATTGTGTTTTAGGAAGATCAATTTGGTAAATGTTTGGAGATTGGATCGTAAAGAGGAAAGCAATCTTTACTGGAGGAAGGCAGATCAGTTAGAAGTCTGTGGCAATTATCCAGAGGAGAGTGATGTCCATTTTGATATGAAGGATTTTTATCATCAAACGTCACTGACACATATGTGAAGTGTTGTATTCATCATGCTATCTATTTCAGTTTTTCTAGAATAACATACTCAGGTTTGCTGTTTTTGACTTAATTAGTAAATCTTTGGATTGGCAATTCTGTTGACCTTCTTATCTAGTAACATTATTAAATAGTAAATTACTCTAATTTATCTTGATTTGTAATTCTAGCATTTTACAGTTGGAAGTTTCATTAGAAAAATAATCTTTTCCAACCACTTTATTTACCAGACGAGGAAACTGAACACCACTGAGGTTAAATGATTAGCCCAGGGTCACATAATAAGTTCTTAAGGAATCCATCCTGGCACCAAATGTGGAATTCTTTTTTTTTTTTAACTGCTCAAAAGCATTCTGTTCTAGACTCTTACCTGGGATTAGTATCAAGATTATTGGTCTAAAGTTTCTGTCATTCATCCTTTTCCCCACTTTTTGCAAATTGGAACACTGTTTGTCTGTCTCATCTTTGGCTTAATAGTAGTTTCCATATGTTGCTTTTGTTCTATGTCTGCCATTTTTTAAACTTTTAAATTCTATATTCATTATGGTCATAAAAAAGCTAAGTTCTTTTTGGATGTTTATTTTCCAGCCTCCATTATTTAAGTAATAAAAGCAACAGTATCCTTGTTTCTCCTTATATTGCAGCTTAAAAATCATATGTGTTCAACTGATTTTACCCGAAAAGAGTTATGGTAAAAGTACATGTAGCAAAACCAGCTTAGGCAGCTCCTACTGTTGGCTGTTGCTGCTGCTGCAGCTGCCTCAGCGGCTGCAGTGTTTTGGGAAATAACTCAGGATTAGATTATGTGGAATCAATTTCCACACCACATAATGTACAATAATTCATAATAAGCATTAATGATTCCTGCTGAGCTGCCCTTAGATACCATGTCATTAATTGGCATTTTTTCCCTCCCCCCCAACCCTTCTTCATTAGTGGCTATGACTGAAGTGGATCAACTAGGAGTGGCTCCTTGTATCTTAGCAAAAATATAAAGCAGAGGACGTGCACACTCTTGGACAAGAGAAGCCTGTGATGAGAAGTTAAATTTTTGAGCACACTATTTTGGAGACATGGGATGTAACAGTTCTATCCAGTATGAAGATAGGAAATCTGAGAAAGGTAAGTAGTTGTTATGCCTGTTGTTAATGGATGTGAGAGGAATGTGATTTTTCCTCTTCTCCTTTGTTTCTTAGCATTGGATTGAGTGATCCTGAGTGATTTTTATGCAAGGCCTCATGCTTTTTTTTTCTTTAAGGTTTCATATTGAAGTAATCTGGAAAACTAGTTAATAGAATGATAAAACTTGTTATTTATAGGGCTAAATTTCAAAACATTAGCTACTAGATGATATTTTATTTTTAATTTTAGTTGAAAATATGACTGAATTTATGTAAAAAAAGAAAGTCAAAAATTCAATGGAAAGACGTTAGATCTCTTCCCCTTTCTAAAATGTCCACTAATATAGAAACCATTTGCAATAGGCACTCAATATATGCCCATGTGACAAATGACCCAGATTAGATTATGTAGAATGACTTTCCACAACAAATGACATACAGAAATTTAAGTTTAAAAAAAACAACTAAGCTATTCCAAAAACCTAACTTGAGTTTAAATTTTATAAGGCGAAGATCAAATGGGTTTTCATGTCTGTTCAACACTAGATTTCATAGAGCTGCACCATACTTTGAGAAATGTAAAAGTAAATTTTTTATGCATTTACATTATCTTTTTAAGGTATAAATATTACTTTTTAAAAGTACATTTTTTTCACTTGCCACAATATAAGAAAATCTACCTTTTGCATGTAAGATGTAGAGTCTTAAGAATTATTTATGCTGCGTTCTTTCTTAATGTTCAATATAATTATCTGTGTGTCTCCTTAGAACTCACTGAATTTGCTCCTTGGTCTTTTCAAACTAGATTTACACAGGCAAAGTAAAATAAAAACCCGAGGCAATTATCTGGCAATTCTTGGCCACACTTTGTGGAAACAAGCCTTGGCTTAAGGTACTATATTACTTCAATTTAGGATGAGAGGTAGTCTACACTAACTAATGTGTTCTGATTTACTTTAAGAATCGAAGTAGCTCTCTCTGTCTCTCAGAGCACTGTGCCTTCTTGGCTAGTCATTGAGTACCGAATGAGTAAGCCGTTCTCTGGAAATAGATCAGGAAGTTGAGAGAGGCATTAATGCTTTAAAGGAATCAAGAACACCATGTCTTACATTTTCTTTACTGTATAAATTATCCCCTGGGAATAACATCCTGGAAGATGATGGGTAAGCATCGATTCTACAGCTGTAAGAATCAAAACTCTCTGTAACAACCACATTTCCTGAATAGAAACAAACAAAAAATAATTAAGCCCCACTATTTTCTGCCAACCTAGTTCTGTATGTGTATGAAATTCTGCCAAACAGCAGAGATTTTATAAGTTTGACTCTCAGTGTGATGTAGTTGCTTCGTGGGATGGTGGATTCCTCCTTTTGAAGGTTTTCAAGCAAAGGCTGGACATCCATCTGCTGGAATATTTCAAAGTGAGGATTCCTTTTATGTGTGAGTTGGACTAGATGCCATGAAGTACCTTGTAACTCTTAAATGGACTGAGGTCTAGGATGCCTGGATTCTTGTCCCAACCCTCCCCCCAACCATGTGCACATTGCTTAATCTCTTAGTTTAGCTTCGTCATCTGTAAAATGAAAGGATTAGAACAGAAGATTTCTAAGGTCCCTGTTAACTTTAAAATTCTGTAATGTAATGTAAAAATATTGGATTTATGTAGTGCCTTTAAAAACAAAACTTTCTACATTGTTTATCTCACTTGTCTACCCGTTTCTGAACAACTCTAATTCATAATGCGGGAAGCTCCTTTTTAATGGGCCAACGACTTCTAAATGATGCAAGTTACAGAATATTGCATATTATTCTGATTAGGTGAGACAACCACTTTTTTTTTTTGCTAGATGAAAGAACTGTTTCCTTAAGTCTTACTATTATTTTGAAATAATGTTTATTTAAAAGCAAATAATATTACATATGTTCATTTGTATATATGTGACCCTGGGCAAGTCACAACTGTAAAATGGGGATAATAATAGCACCTACCTTGTAGGGTTGTTGCAAGACTCTAAAAAAGTACTTAGCATAGTGTCTGGAATGTAGTATATAAATTCTTTATTCCTTTTCATTCCCTTGTACATAGGCCAAAATGGGAAAGATAGCACAACATTCCTAAAAAAAAATGAATGAATCAATGAATGAATTCATTTTTTAGTACTTACTATATGTTAAACATTGTGCTATATGTTGGTGATAAAGATACAAAAGCAAGACAGTCCCTGCCCTTAGGACCTTACATGCTAGGAGAGGGAGTTGTGGTCACAGAAAGGTGTTTTGGTTTGGGAAGTCACTGGAGTGGTGAGTGAAGGGATGGGGAATAAGTTCACAGGCCCTTTCACAGAAACAATGATAGTATTAATTTGATAACTCATCCTGGAGGAAGAGGTGGCTTGTGGGATAAGATGTGAAGTATGGTCTGAGGCCTAAGGATGGCTGGCAAGATATATGCATCAAATGTATGTCTATTGACTTACTTATGAAGGCAGCCCAAACCCAGGGTGGTGGTTCCAAAATGGAATGGATTGTCACCAGGGTGTGGTCTCAGGAGGTCTGAAGGTCCAGAAGGAGCATCAGCACAGCAGATGGCAAGATGATCGGGGTGTTCAGTTGCTCTGGGTTCTGAGGGTGACTAGATAGAGTGGTCCTATGGTCTATGCTGGCTTACTCAGCACTCAGGAGAGCACGGCTCCAGGGTAGGGGTTCCAAAGCTGAATGAAAAAATAGAATGTGGTTTTGTCCTTCATGTTGTATAAGTGGCACTTCATCTATTTTTTCACTTATTTTGGGATGTAGGATTTTGCTAAATGATAAAATTAGAGATTATAATTTAATATACCTCAATGTCATTTTGTAGTTCAACTTTTTATATTGATTGGTTTTAGATTAATGGGTGCATGTGAGATTAATCAGGGATTCCCTCAATCAATTTGAGTTTACTTTTCCTCCTGTGGTATATGTGTGTATGCATTGACACTTCGTCAGAAAGATAGTTGACAACAGGTCCTGAGGAGTTTCAATTGACTTCTACTTTCCCAAGATGGCTGGTAGACTGGAGCTTAGTAAGATAGATTTTCGTTGGAGGAGCTTTTTTTTTTTTGTCCTAGTCTATTAAGGGGAGTAACAGTCCACTCATCTTTCTCTGCCTTCTCCTGACGGATTAGAGCATCGCAGAACAGGACTGGTCTTTGTCATAAGGAGTCTTTTGCATACATATAGTCTTTCTACTCAGGAACTATTAATGGTGGACCTTGGGCAAAGGAGTTACATATACCATCCCAAAGCTTTCTGATAATAGCTCAAGACACACCCCAGACCTAGTTGCTACAGAAGCACATGGTGGAGAAGCCACGGGCTCCAGTTCCTGGTCCAAAAATGACAGCAACCAGAAGAGTTCCCACAGTAGCACATGGTGAATATTCTCCTCCCCACTGGACCTGGGAGGGAATTTGATTGAAAGTGTTCCAGAGTCCTAGACTCCTATGTAGAAGAGTAAGGAGGTGGGGTATTTAACATTCAGAGGCCATGGAATCCAGCTTTCTAGCCATGGAATGGAGCAGTGACCTTGGGGTTTGTTTATAGGTAATCCCAAATTCAAGAGTTGCAAATTTTGTTTTGTTTTGTTTTGTTTTTTTGAGGGGAGAGGGAGTTTGGAGATCAGATCTTCTGGAGAAAGGAGGGGATTTGAGAGGATTGCTGAAGAGCAGAGGAAGAAGATTGCCGCATGGCACCTGTTGTGGGGTGGGGAGTAGCAATGAATTGGGAAATCAAAGCACGTGGAGTTTACCACCCCCTTGTCATTGCAGAGATGCAATGTTTAGTAAACTCACAGTGCTTTTCCTCCAGAAGGGAGTTTATGGCCTATTGGAGTGCTTACATGTTTTTTTAAGGGAGGTAGGTGGTGTGGATAGAGTGCTGAGCCTAGAGTCAGGAAGACCTGAGTTTAAATCTGATCTCAGACACTTTCTAGCTGTGTGACCCTGGGTTAAGTCCCTTAACCTCTGCAAACTAGGGATAAGAACACCACCCACTTGAGTTCTAAGGATCAAGAGATAATATTTGTGAAGCACTTAATACAGTGCCTGGCATGCAGTAGGTAGCATATAAATGATTATTCTCTTCCCTTCCCCTTTCAATATCTGCTTATGAGTAGCTGTGAGTGTTATAAATGTTTGATGTGTCTCCTTATAGGCTTTTGTTAGTCTCTTGTATCTTCTTAATTTCCTGTGAAGTGAAATAAAAGCTGTATCATACCCAGTACCTGTATTGTCATCTTCAGGGCTTTTATTGGAATTGGGTACATGCTTTACCCTTATTATGGAAAACTGAACATAACCTTTTCCTAAGCTAGAGAGATGGTGACTATGTTGTAGCAGCCCACAGGACTGAACCTGGACTGTGGGAACCTGGAGTTGGTTTGGAGATCCTGGCTAATGGGTTACATAATCCGGTAATCCATTTTCTTTGTGATTTTTTCTTGTAAAGCACGAATACTATTACATGTATTTCTTTTTTCCTTCAAGATTGCTTAGAAATGCTTTTATGAAATTGTTTTGACATGAGTAGCCCACAAGAATTGCATTAATTTTTTAAATGAGATGATGACTTTTTTTCTTTCTTGGTTTTTAAACTTTACCTTCACTTGCCTTCATTGATTTTGCTTTATTTCCACTATCAGAAACAAATAGAAATTTTAAAGAAATCTTTTGATTCTTATTTTCCTTATTTAAAAATGAATTCATCGATCAATTATCATGCTTCATTTAAAATAAGTGATGTTACTCTCTGATACCTTAACCAGGTGAGAGTACATTTCATTCATTCATTTATTCATTCAATCAATCAATGACTTTAGTTCACAAAAAAGTACTTAAAAGCCATTGGATAAATGAAGTGATATTTTTAGGAAGTCTGTTCTATTTGGTTGAGTGACTTAGTTATGTAAAAACCAGGAAGTTGTATAAAACCAGGAGCTATCTCAGAACTCAAGATATTTGAGCC